GGAGAACGGCCATGGGACGGACGGGTGGTGTTGTCGGTTTGGTACAAATTCCAGGAGTTGTCAAGGCTGCCAGCGATGCGTTGAACTTGAGACAAGGATCGGTTATGCTCCGGATTACCACGGAAGTGCATATGCAAAACAGGTTTGAGTCCATCTCGGAATCGCTGGATTGCCTCGGATTCGGACACATCGCCAGCACGGACACGGAGGATATTGAACTTCTCGATGTACTTCACGACTGACGTTGTCTGTCTCAAGCGGGCAAGTTCGTCGCGGGCGTTCTGGATCAGGTTAGGGTCTTCGAACTGTACGATGAGGAAATTCTTGAGGTCGAGCCAGGTGCCAGAGTTGGCATGGAATTCCTGTCGGAAACCTTGCCACCAAAGTTTGGCGTTGCTTCGGAAGAGCAAAGGAGCGGAAGTGATGCGTTCGGCATCTTCGGTATCGAGGGCGTCGAAGTAATCGTCCAAGGAGAGGAGCCAGACGGTAACTTGTTCGGAATAGGAAATACCGGAGAAGGTGTCGAGCTGGACCTTCTTGAGGATCTGGTGAGTGGCCATTGTTGGAGGTGCGTGGAAAGAAAATTGCCTTTGCTACCATGTGACGCGGTCAAGATAAAAGGGACGTCAGGATCTGGATCTGGATCAAGGTAAGTCAGGAATCACGAATCAAGATCAAGAGTAAGTTGACAAGACTTACGAGTCGTGGGGACTGGAGTGTTCAGGAGGCAGAGAGAGCAGGTAAGTGTGTTGAAGGATTGTTTATTGGTGTGGTTGGGACTAAGGAACTAATCTTGGAGGGGAACACACTCCAGCTTATATAGAAAAATAAAGATAAAAAGGATGTGTCTAGACTCTTATCAAGTGATGAATGCTTGAGCTGACGCTCAAGTACCTGGTTGTTAATAAAGGGATCTAGATGTGTAGAGACAGGCCTCGGCCATAGCAGTGCGCGTAGAAGACGCGTTGTTTAGGGATATGGAATCGTAGAAAACATAAAGGTTAATTCTAGCGAATGAGAAAGGTCGCAAACAGAGAGAGCAAATGTGGGCAAGGTTCGCCTTGTCCACAAAAGCAGTCACTTTTGTTAACACAATGCCACCACCGGCCAGTCCCCATTTTTCTTGAACCAGGGATTTCACCCGCGCGTACCGATGTCTCTGTTACAACCTCAACCCAGCCCCAACCCCAGTGTCATGGAATTCGTGGAAGCACAGAGCACAGCATTAATCATCGCGCAAGAGGCCATCGCAGACGCCCAGGAGCGGCAGATCAAGAATGCGGATTCCCGTTGTGGTGTGGTAAACCCACACGGAGTATAGACGGGGTATCCAGGTACAAGGGACGGACACAACACCTGATATGACACGATGGGAGGAATAGGTACAGGACACTCATACGATCATACCAGGCACGTGCTGCACGTGCAGTTACAGGATGTGCAAGTAGAAGGACATGCAATTAGACAAGAGTCAATAGGGTTTGCATGCATTTATAGAAATTTTCTTTGGTCAATAAATATCACAGAACGACAGGACCAAATGGTTCCTGGTCTGTTTCCTCACTATACTTTGCTCAACACTTGCCCCCGCACGACACTCCAAGTCGCTCCACGCATCCCTGTCCCAACACACTGTACCCTTCGATCGGTATACTCTGCCACAGCTGGCCTTCATAGCATATCGCCCAGCAAGAGTAGAGACGGGACCCGTGCGTCTGAACTGCTGCACCTCTAGTGCCCCCCCAAGTGTTCCTGCGAGTCCGCTCACATTACCTGCCTGCCCCCACGACAGGTAATGATCATGGTCTCATAACGAACAAGAGCGGAGGATCAAGAACAGTACCCCTCGATGCCGACGTCTGGACACAGGAGTCAAGACAGAGTCCCTTTGACCTTGCAGATCCCTAACCCGAGTGTGTTGTCGCCTTTCTTATTCTCGTAAATAGGTTTGCTGTCTTTATTATCCTCATCGTTGAAAGATCTCTTACCAGTGCCCCCACATCTGGAGCTTTATCCATACACCGTAAGATAATTATTATGTAGAGACTCCGTAAAGCAGAAGAGACTTTTATTGAGCAACATATTCACAGCTAGTACTTTTAACTGATATAGAGCCACTACACCACACCGTCGCCGTGATCATGACTTCAAAGTTGGAGACCAGGTGCTGCTGAGTACAGAAGACATCACCGTTGCTGCTGACAGGAACCGCCCCACCAAGAAACTGCAGGCACGCTTTATCGGACCTTATACAATCCTGGAACAGCACTCACCGGTCTCTTTCCGCCTTGATGCAACAGGATTACCACTCGGTTACCAAGCTGCACGGTTACGACACACAGAGCCAGGATGGGAGCCCGGCATCATGACAACTCCACTACGACACTGTACAATAGGCCCCAGACATGTATATATAGACCCTACTTACGATCATTAAACAGCATTCATTTCTACGCATTCCTACTTGACCACTGCCCTTGACCCCTTGACTCTGCTGCTGTTGCACTTGAGCTGCCCCCGTCCATGAAGATACACGATGTATTCCACGTCGACCGCTTCCGGCCGTACTTACCTTCACCAGTGACATTCGGCCGACGTGCACATGTGAGACCAGCACCAGAGATCATTGATGGCGAGGAAGAGTACGAAGCTGAGACGATCATGGAACATCGAAACAACAACAATCGCGTGGAGTACCTGGTCAAGTGGCAAGGATATGCAAGGGAGGACTCCACATGGGAACCAGAGAGCAACATGACTAACTGCGCACGACTTTTACGGCAGTACAAGAAACAGCATAGACTTTAATTTTTTTAAGATGGGGAGGTGTAACAGGATAACCCCGAATATAGCCCCGACTCCGAAAGGACTGGGGCCCCGGCTATAGACCACCGACCGGGCCGGAACCGGTCCGTAGACATAGATAAATAGACCAGCTAGTTACCACCTAAATACAGCACGCATTCCATCCTGTCCACCTCGAGCCCCTGCCCTCAGTTGCTTAAAGCTATTACAGCGAGACTCAGGACCAAACTGAGCGGCAGAGATCCAGGATTGGACAATGGGGCACTTCGAGCAAGGCTCCGTACTCTGGCGCGGGAGCAGATGGATGCAATGCCAACGTTACGCTATAGAGCACTGCCAAACGATACGCAACGTCCGATAGGAGACACATTCGGGGTCAGTATTCCAGCAGCAGTGTTGCGCCACATCCAGCAACAGCGTACCCGACTGCAAGGACTGGACAAAGTTGTAATGTTTTCGGACGGTTCAATGGAAGAAGCAGGAAAGCAGGGTGTCCGAATGGCATTCGGCGTGGTAGCGCAGGAAAATCAAGACGCCATGCACACAGTGGTAACGGGCAGGATCGCAGGATTTGCTTCATCGACTAAAGCGGAGCTTGCAGGGCTTTTTGCAGCAATCCTGGCCAGTCCAAGGAACACGCCAACAACCATCTACATTGACAACTCGGCTGTGGTAACGCAATTTAAAGCCTTGGTGAGTGGGAGACAAGGAAGCACGGAACGCCAAAGGCTGCGGTCGACTTACGCGATCTGGTGGTCGGCAGTGCACAACGCATATGTACATCAAGGAGGGAAGATCAAGGTGGAGTGGATCAAAGGGCACGCAGGCCATAAGGGCAACGAGGCAGCGGACAAGGCAGCAAAAGAGGCGCACTTCAGTGACCTTTGGGCCATCAATGAAAAGGAACACAATGACATCCAGTGCCACGCCATGTTCAAAGGCGCGGTCGTTGAGGGTGATCTGAGGCAGGTACTTAAACGCCAATCAACGGTAAGGATGAACGCGTTATGGACAGAGCAGAACAGGACTAAGGAAAACATCAAGGATTGGAACCTGGTGGACTGGAAAGCAACACTGCACATAATTCACAACGGCAACACACCGAAGGGATTATTCACTAGCCCTAACGATTGTCAGCGTCGTGCGCACAGGATCAAGAAGCTGCACGGAATGTTGCCGACGCTGGCGTACATGAAGCAGTGGCGGCCGGATTTGTATAGCACAGACACCTGCAGACTTTGTGAGGTGGACAAAGAGGACACGCAGCATCTATGGCGCTGCGAAATGACGATGCAGCAGCAGCAGGACGGTTGGCAGGAAGCAATCGAGAAGGTCAACACAGATGGACGTAGAGCATGGAATAAAGAGCGCAAGCTTTGGGAGACGAAGCAAAAGCAAGCCAAGGAGCGAGGACAAGCCGCGAGAGGACAGGGACCAAGCTTCACACAGGTGACAGACAAGGCCATTTGGACAGCACTCAAGAACAAGATCAAGGGAGCTTCGGCGATCCAACAAGCAAGCAACACACTCGGCGGTGTGGAGGACGAGACAAGGGACAACGATCAAGGGGCCTGGACGGTTCAAGATTTGTACCACGGACTGACACCAGCGGCTCTCGCCAAGGACTGGGAGAGCCTATTCAAGACGACCACCTCGATCGCGAGGTACATGGTCGGCCGATTCGTCAAGGCCATCGAGGAATTCGGACGGACAGAAATCTGGAACAAAAGATGCAAAGTCACCGTCGACTGGGAAAGAGAAAATAGGATCACTACCATGAGCAAACGCGCCCGGGGACGCAACTGTGTTGGAGAGCACAGACGTAGTGGTAGTGGTTTTGTTGGGTCCTCCAGGAGACAACGACGTGCATTGGATGTGAAAGAGATCGAGGAACGAGCGGACAAGCGAGTGCTGCAAAGCTGCATACAGCAGGTGGAGCTAAACGTGATGGAACGCACCGGCAACTGTAAATTTTTGATGATTGAGGAACGCGGCTAAAGGATGACCTTCGCGCACAACAGGCCAAGTAGGGAGCAGGGCTCAGTCACCGACCCCAGGCGGGGTCGAGTTACCACTCATGCTGACTGGGATTGTGAAGGGGATTGGAGCTGCGAGTGACCAGCAGCGGTGCGGCAAAAGCCGTTTATTAGAATATTGAGCACCCTTTACTATGCCTCTAGCAATAGGGTTCCCTAGTCTAGAGTCCCTCACTAATAAATCCCACATATCCTCGTGGGTTCTAGTTATCAAAAAAAAAAAAAAAAAAAAAAAAAACTATGGAGGGGATGGGGAAGATACCCTTCTTGTAACAAGGTGTTTTCAGCTTTTAACACACTGATGAGGTGTGGCAATTGTTGCGCAGGCCCTAGGGGCAGGCCCGGGGAATGTGACCTGTCTTTTGGCGACTGTGGATCGGTTCCGCTTTGGTGGTGAGGACAGCGATAGTAGATCTTTGCTAGTTAGTCTGATAGATTCGCAGAGTCAATTGACTCGAGAGACAAGTTGTTATAAAAAATAAAAAAAAAAAAAGGTTCCTGGCCCCTGGGCTTTTTTGCACATTGCCCCATAGGGACATCTATGGCTTCAAGGCCTTTGCGGACCATGCGTCGCGTGCTCATGGGGATTTATGTTAATAAAAAATAAAAAAAGCCCTAGGGGCAGGCCTGAGGAATGTGGCCTGTCTTTTGGCGACTGTGGATCGGCTCTACATTGGTGAAAGGCCGACTGTAGCAGATCGCCGCTAGTTAGGTCAGATAGATTCGTAAGGTCAATCGACTTGAGGGTCAAATTGCTACAGAAAAAAAAAAAAAAAAAAAAAAAAAAAAAGGATCGGTGAAAAGGACGACACTGTAGTAGATCACCGCTAGTTTAGTCTGATAGTTTCGTGGAGCCTGAGAGGAGGAAAAAAAAAAAAAAAAAAAAAAAGAGGGGGAGCTCTAAGGCCCCAGTTTTGCATAGTTGATATAGGGGCAGACTTTTTTTTATTTTTTTATTTTTTATGATGCTATGTTACAAGAGGAATCGCTTGCTATTTTCGTTTTCCTCATGAGCGCTCCTCTTTGGCCACCTTACTTCACTCCTAAGCAGCTGCACTACCGCCCACAACAACAGGAGCATTGGAAGCTATGGCCACACTAGCACCTGCACTTTCTGCGTGCTGCTCCTGTTGTTCTTGCTGCTCTTGCTGTTCTTGCTGTTCTTGCTGCTCCTGTTGTTCTTGCTGTTGCTGCTGCTTCTGCTGATAAGCATAAAGCGGTGCTGTCGAATATGCCATCAGCTGCGGTGTCAACTGTGGGGTCATCATCAGCTGCGGTGCTGCCGCCGCGACTTGTCCATAACCTGCTCCGCTCAATCCAGGCACCCCCATATGAGGAACGCCCATGCCCATGCCCATCATATTCATGTTCATGTTCATAGTCGATGGGTTCATGCCCATGCCCATCCCGACGCCCATAGCGGTCGTGAGCACGGGAGCGGTGGGGAGCGCGAAGTGCAAAGGAAGGGCGTTGATCATCAACTGTTGCTGCTGTTGCGAAAGTGGGATTGTAGATGAGGTAGCATCTGCAGAGGATGGCTCCGAGGTAGCAGCGGTGGTGGCCGCGACTGCAGCACGGGCCTGCTCCAGTTGCTGCTGTAATTGCTGCTGCTGTTGAATCAAAATTTGCTGCTGCTGGATACGGATCTGCTGCAATTGCTCAAGTTGCTGCTGATTCTGTTGCAGCTGCAGCTGCTGTGCACTAGGATGTTGTAAAATAGCAATAGGCGAGATCGCCTGATAATATTGCTGGTGCTGGTGCTGGTGCTGCTGCAATTGCTGCAGCTGTTGCTGTTGGATTTGAAGCTGGACTTGCTGCTGTTGATTTTGCTGATGTTGCAGGGCGGCAGAAAGCTCTGAGGTGTATCCCATACACGTAGCGGTTGCACCGAGGACTGGACTTGGGTACGGAGAGGCGTTAGCAGTTGATTGCGCATACCCTTGCTGCTGATAGGGAAAGTTAAAATAGCTGGCACTGGAAAGTCGTTTGGGAGATGTGCGACATCGTGCCTGACTACCGCGGTATGTACCTTGTGGCGTGAGCTGGGGCGATGGTTGCTGCTGTGGTTGCGTCTGCTTCACAGACGAATTAGTGGTACCATAGAGCAAGTTACCATGGCTTCCGGAAAATGTAGACTTGTGTCCCATAGGGTATGGATGGGCCTGTTGTTGATGACTGCCAGAGTGTCGTCGAGAGTCCGACTCCATCGGATACAGCCCCGGTGTATCTGGTGTCACAAGACCCGTATTGACAGGATAATGACGCGGAGAATGGCTCTGCATTGAGCTGTTGGAGTCCCTTCTGGGGATCGAATCTTGGCCGGTGGGCAGCTGGGAATCCATCAACAGCGGTGAGCTGTGCAGCTGCTGCTGTTGAATAAACTGTGGGACATAACCCGTACCTCCTAGGCGCGTATTGAGCAGGTAATCTCGACGATGTTGCTGCACCAGATTGGGGTCTCGCGAATGTGAATCCCGTCTAGGCGTTGGCGCCTGGAAACAAACAGTCGATTTCTCTCGATCGATTTTGGACACAAGTGTTTCTGTAAAGACTGGAGTGCTGCTCCTTCTTGCTGATGCACCAACAAGATGTGGTGGGAGATCGTGGACAGAACCGTCTGCCAAAGTTGTTCGTCTCGGTCGAGAGTGATCATCCTTCACTGTCGCCGCGCTTAACATTGACGTGGAGATTATGGCCGAGGAGTAACGGCGATGTGCCTGTGCCTCCATATCCTCAAACCCGCTGTCTCTTGTCTTGCGATCACGACCGTTTAGTACTGTTGAGTTGCGAATAGGGTTGGCGAGGCCTGTGACCAAGGCGTCGCTGCTGCTGTTATTCGATCCAAACTTACAGGGCTCTGGTGTCGATAAAGGGCTCTGGTGAGAGAAGCCGCCGGGTGATTCCAGGTCCTGTCTTTCTGGCTCATCAATGACCTCCAAAGGGGGCTTCGAGAGCCTTGGAGCTACTGATGACCTTTTCTGGCCCTTCTTAGAAGTAGAGTTCGAGGCGGTAGGAGTGGCCGCAGGTGTCGAAACTGCAGTGGAAGAGCTTTTAGAGCTTTTGGATCCGCTACTAAAGAGACGCGATATTCGTCTGGCAATGGAGACTGTGGAGATATTCATATTAATACATCTGTCACTCACGATCATTTTGCAGCCTATGAACCTAATTGCCCTCACAGGTAAATGGATCGCGTTTGTTTGTTTACCTTTTTTTGTAGCAGAATCTAGGGAGGTAGTGTTGCCACCGCTCGAAACAGTCGCGGATGATTTTGTAGTGCTGTGGTTCAAATCGAGTCTTGAAAGGGCTAGAACAGCAAAAAAAAAAGGCACAGCGGTCGGACGCGACGTTGGACATTCAATCACCCGAAAACAAAAGATGTGAATAGGGGTTAGCTGGCTAATATCAGAAAAAGAAAAACAGAGCAGTAAGAATCGACCGCTACGGCCGGCGATCTCCATAATCTCTACCTCGTGGAACTTCCGTGGCCGCAGTGCTATTCAAATCGATGGCCTGGCCAGACAAATATCTGGAACGACGTGAGGTCTGTTGAGCAGAGAGTCCCAGCGGCTCGTTGTCGCTATCTTCGGAATCGGATGGAGTATACTGCTTTGAGAGCTTTGACCTATGGACAGGCTGCCTTGGAGGTGGGAGTTGAACAGGATTGTCTATAAGGATACGGGTATGAACAGTAGAATGAAGGACATAAAAATGAAGTATGAGCATGGCGTCCTTTTGGTACGTTAGAGCACTTTGATGACAGGGCAGCTATTGGTTTTTCATACCTGACAAGGTGTATCTGGTCGGCTCTAGCGAGGGCTCGTGAGATGAGCTGGTGGAGCTGGCGGATGAGCTGTTAGAGGAGGTTCTGCTTGACTGAGAGGTGTTGTCGGACGACGAAAGAGGGAGTTGTGTTGAATAAAAGGCCTGTGATTGGCGACGCAGTCCATCTCGGGCAGCAGGCGGGTCGGACTGAATCATCTCTTGCGAATTTGAGGACCGACGGTGCTGCTGCTGCCTTAGATACTGGCTGTAGTCGCTGTTGGGATCCGCGACACAGAGGCGATTGTCGACACGAGCAGCGACAGGAGATTCCGAAGACATCTTTGACTAAAATGGTCGATAAAGCGAAGGAGGTGGAGCGAAGGTAGAGTACAGCAGTGAAACGAAAACGATGCTTAATACAAAGATTCACGCAAAGGGTCTCTGCTGCGATGTGGTAAGATATGCAGGATATGTAGATGAACGCGTCGTATTTTATAAAAAGAGAGGACGAAGCAACAAAGCTGTTGTTGAGGGGGAAAAGGCGCGATTATCGTTCGGCGGCTGTGGTTCTATGCTCTCTTATCACACCGACGCATGGTAGGAGGAGAAACAGCGCTTGTTTTGAACGATCGATCGTTGTTATGGTTGATGGGCGACCTGTAAGATGCTAAAAGGGCGTTCGTAGTAGTGGCGGCATCGAGGGTTATTATTAGCTTTTTGTAAAAGTAGGACGAACAATGGGAAAGATGACGGCGGCCGGAGATCTAGAACGCGCAATGTCAAAGGAGAAAAAAAGGTCTAGGGACCACTGACGCCCTGTGGAGGGTAGCGATTTTAAGGAGCTCCTTCCGGCATCCGGACGCCGGGCGGGGCGTGCAGTAGCGGACAAGAAGAACAAAAAGGGAGCCCGAGGGCCGGGCAGGAGCCATCTTTTACGCCCAGGCAGGCAGGGGGGACCTTTGCCAGGAGGGGCAGCAAAAGTGCAAGAGGGAATGTCTTCAGGACTGAAGGCAGGATAGGGAATCCGTGTTTAAATGGGTCATTATATGACCGACCGAAAGCTGTGGACCAGGGAACGATCCGAACGTTCCTTTGAGCATATTATAATAATCAAAAAGATGGCAGACCGACGATTGACACTAACAATAAGCCGTTCCTTGCCGCTCTGTCACCGCAATAGATCCACATGCACGCCCTGCAAAAAAACGGATATCATTGGCTGCATCTTAAAAATGGGTGTGAAAGAGCGAAAACGACTTTTGGTGGGTGTGCAGGAGAGCGAGTCGAGTCAACTCATTGGGTGATGAAGAGTCCATTCGTTCAATCCCCATCCTGGTCTTCTTACCCAACACTAGCTCGAGTTTGACCGGGGAGTGTCGTGCACTGCGTACTGCTCTATGGATGTTAATGAAAGTAAAATGATGTTTGTTTGAAGAGAATTTTTTGAAGGGGGGCGCTGCGAACTAGAGTACAGGTGTCAGGCTAGCGACGTCCAAGGGCAATGTGGAGTAGAGGATTTCAATTGAAGAAGAAGGAAGAGAGGGCGAGTGAGAGAGTTGAGAGGAGGAACCGAGAAAAAGAAAGAAAGTGAAGAAGTGGAGAAATGTGTAAAAGTGAGAATTAGAAGGAAAGATAAAAAAATTGTGCGATGGGGCCATACATTCTCTAGTCCATGCAGCAATAGACTCCCCTCATCCCCCTCCTCTGGGTAAGTAGGTGGTTGTGGCCGTCTTTGCCCCTTGTTCCTCACCCATTGCGGAAGATCTCTGACGCGCTGTGCCAGAACGTGTGGTACGATCCGATCACAACACCTCTGGCACCCAGAGCTGGCATCTTCCCTTTGATTAAGTGACAGGGGCCCCACATCTCTTGCCCAATCGCCCAATTGCGAGAGTTGCCCGGGTGTTAGCTAGTTCGATTAGGTTCGTACCTGAGGTTGAAAGTTCATCGTGTCCTTGTTTTCATTGTGCATGCAATCAGGTCGGCGCTAGTCATTTACGGTTGCCTTTTTTTATCACAGTTCGTCTGATGGCAACCTTGTAAAAGAGCCAGTAGCGTGCGGCGGACGTTGTCCTCGAGAAAGACGTCGATACATGGACATACCGCCAGGAACCTGTCATTGTCCCAGTCCATCCCTCCGTCCAGCATCTGGTTTATGCAAGTTGCCGTGGATAGGTGTTTAATTCTCGATATAAATAAATAAATAAACCTTTTCCAAAAACTCGGGTTTTCCTATAAAAATAACATTTTTGTATTCATTCACTCGATTGGCCTTGAGTAGTCTACTAACTAAAGTGCGCCATGACGGAGGATAACAGCAATTAGAGGTTGCATGAGTGGGGCGGATATGGGGGGAAAGGGGTTTAGTGTGCACCCTTGAGCCCTCAGTACCGTCTCTGCTAAGGAGAGATAAGGTGAGATCAGGAATAATAATAATAATAATAATAATAATATGATGATGATGATAAAAGAAAGGGGCTCTCAAAGAACCGCCTTTCTGGATCCAAATCAAAATGCTGTTTCAGGCATGGATAATCGGATTATAGGATGATACCTGTCATCTGCTGTCTCGATAATCCAGCCTTCACCACCCCAACCCTGTAATCCTTGCCGCATGTTTGATCGCTTCTCACCCACAATGCAAATCGCCACTGTGTTGCGCAGCTACCGAGAGGGTCCCAAAAAGGTATTATGCGGTTCTATTTTTCATGCGAAAACCTGAGACTGTGCTTATTCGTGTACGACGTTAAACCCGACGTATGTTGTGTCCAGCGCCCTCAGGACAAAGAACCCAGAGCTCATATTCTTCCAGTCAACTGTTTGACGCGTGCCTTTGCGCCTTCATGACCGCAAACAGTACTCTGCGATACTAACGTATACTGAGGCCTCTCTCGGTTCCACCGAACGCTATATCGATGTGAAGGTCAGTTTCTCTGCCTAATCTCGGTAAAACACCCAGGATTACTCGTGAGCCACGATATGGAGGTGGATGACATGACAGAGACAATATCTGACCCTCAAATAAGGTGTCATGTCTATGTTAAGTATATGTAGGAGAGCACTGACGCGAACTAATTGTATAACACTAATGCTCAGATAGATTGTCAAAAATAAAGGTGGCACCGGCTAGGAGGTGGCTCGGCTAGTCTAGGTTGCGCGGATCTACGTGACACATGTGCTCCGATGGTTGCACAAAGCGCGTGCGACTACTCTGTCCATGGTGCCAGCTGGTGGCACACCTTCATCTTTTGTCACATTCCAAGGCCAACGTGACGACGTGGCCCTTGAGGGCTGTCTGCACGGCCTTCACTAACACACATACATAGGGGCAACATGCCACGTTTTTTTGGCGTTCAGCATCACCCCATGCTCCCTTTAAGAACCATGGTGCATCCAACTTGTGGTCTATCTGGGACGAAGACACGGGGGCAGCTTCCTTTCTGGACAAACGGCATTCTATTCCTACACAACGCTCATTCCTGCGCTGATATATTTCCTTCTAACGTTCACATACAATAAGTCTTTACGATCGCTTAATGACCTCTCGACGATCTTGCCATCTGTAGGGCCCAAGGGTCGACTTGTAGAGACACTTCCGTCGATCCGGGAATGGGAAAAGACACCAAGGGATATCCCCAAAAACATACATGGTATATAAAAAGATGACCGGATGACCATGAATTTAGGGGCAAAATAAATGGGATAGAAAACCATGGGCCGGTAGTGGCATCATGGCAGTTGGATCAGGCGGCACCAAAAAAAGGGGTGTTGTGGGTACAAGGATATTCCCCGTTGTTGTTTAGCCTGGAGGAGCAACCGGGGAAACAACGCCACTGTGGCCAAAGAGAGAGAAAGAGAAGGATATGAGGGCAAAGGCTTCTGGCTCATTTGCATTGGGTGCGGTGGTGATTGGGGCGCTGAAAAAAAGTAAGCCCTCGCAAGCATTTCTGTGTGCCCAAAGACTAGTACGATATTGTGCAAATAGCAAATATCGATGACATAAGAAATCAGTGAACAACGAACGTGTGTTCATGGGTAAAATAAGCCAGACATGCATACTTGCATACTTGCATGCAGGTGCAGCTTTAAGGCAAGGTGGTGTAGGGATGAACGGATGGGCTAGATGAGGTGCATGGCCCATGGTCCATCCATGGTCCTTGGTCGCGCCTGATTCCCTACTTTTTCCTGCTCGTTTTCCTTCCTTGTTCCTTATTTCTCTTGCTTTTTTTTTTTTTTTTTTTTTTTTTTTTTTTTTTTTTTTCGCTTTAACACCGTTTGGTCAGCCTTCGATACTAGTTCAGTTCAGGTACGCCCATGCTTTTCTCTCTTTTTTTTTTTCTTCTTCATGGAGGGACACCATCTCTGTCATCGAAACAGACAATGATCACGGATAGACTGTATTCGCTAGTTGAACATCAGCTATTGTCATCCAGATCATCCGTTGCTCTCGATCGGCTACTTGTCTCCCACCTTGAATCGGCACCTCCACGCGCTTGAGCTTCTATTTTGAAATCCTGTCCTCGCTCCTCCAACTCCGGTCGTCATTAGCGTCATCGTCCTATTCTTCTTCTTGTTCAGTCCCTCTGTTTCTTTTGGCGCTATGAGGAGGGGGACTGATGACCATCCAACCTGCTCCGGATTGTGAATCAGACAGACATGTGTACTCTGTACCTGCCCCTAAGATGATATGCTTCAAATCGACCTTGTTCCTGCTGCAGCCCCAGTGTCATTGCAGGGTCCGAGGAACAGAGGGGGCAAGTCTGGGTCCAGAAGGTTGGGGCGCCCTTGATGAACGAGACTCAGGCACAACAACAACAACAACAAAAAATAAATAAGCGATGAATGACCTGGCAATGGAAGGGGCAAGGTGGTGTGTGTGCGTGGTCACCCCCACATCGTCCGTCCACAGTATCTTGCGGTGTATGCGGATGCCTCGTACACGCTGCCATGACAAATGAAGTGGTCTTTTGTTTTTTCTGGACCATTTTTCCAGTCCTTACTTAAGCCATTCAGGGACAAACAAACAGACAGAAACGAAGAAGGAGAAGAACGAACTCCTCTTCTCTCTGCCCATCGCTGTCTCTATTCCTCTTCCCCAACCCTCCTCTTACGTCCCCGGTAGCGCCCTTCAGCGAAAGTGTGCCTAGTCCATATCCCATCCTGAACCGTCGTCTTACCGTTTCCTGCTCTCTTTTTCCGTCCACCCCTTTTCACCTTTTCTACCATCGACATTGCATCAGGACAAAAGGATACGGCCTACAGGATACCATATTGTCCGCTCCCTCGGTCATAACACAGTCGACATACATACATCATATACCCCGCCATCATGGCAGATCCAGAGCGGTCCTCGAACCACCAAAACCAGGACAGAAACGAACGAGAGCGGGTCTCTTCTCCCCTCCCTCTCTCGAGTAGCACCAGTCTGAACGACTCCCAAACAAGCCCACAGCACCAGCATCATAACCACCATCCTCGATCTCCCCTTCCCCCACCGGTCAAGGCTCGCTTCTCCAATCTCAGTGACCACATCGTCAAAGCCGCCCGGAGGCTGTCCATCGTCTCGACTCCTCAAGATAGCTACAATCCGCCTCCCTCTCCTGTCCCTCCCCGCTCAGGTGGCACATCGCCCGATATCAACAGGAACAGCAACAGAAGCTCATCCTCCAGAAAACTTGACGATCACAATAGTACCGCCTCCCCAACAAAGGACTCTGCCGATACCAAAGACAAAAAGACCAAAATCAAGGAGAAAAAGCCCTTGGTCAAGATGGACCTGTTCAACCTGAAGTCCAGGAACTCGAATTCCTCGCAAATGAACCTTGTTGCCTCCCCCGTCGAGGTCAAAAAGTCGTCACCAGCACCACCGCCACCAAGCAAAGACACCTATCTAAGAGGCATCGTCCGTAATAGCGTCTGCACAGAGGACGACTATCGGCTACCAGCCCCATCGACCCACCTCATCCCCAACTCCAGTCGCAATCAACAGCAGCAACAGCAGAACTCACCGCTTCTTCAACAGCCGTCATCCACACCGCAGGGTCAGGCGAACTTTAGATCGGAACTCGTTGCCCATGGTCACACGGATATGCACGAGTTTGAGGATCACGTCTTTTATGGGGATCTTCAGCCGATCAGACCTTCCAGCCAAGAGCCTTTCATGTATCACCGACCCACGTCCCCTACACCTCCAGTGCATCAATCGCGCCTTCGACAGCAGCTTGTGCAATCAGGCTCTCAAAATGCGTCGACGCCACCAATACAGAAACGCAGTACCACCCGCTTGGGGAATACCATGGGCGAAGACCTCTCCCGACTCAGTCTTTGCAGTCTTCAGGAGAGTGACAGCGGCATCAGTGATAACAGCCTGCAAATGGAGGATGTCTTTGAAATATACGACAGTTGTTCCATTGATTCAAGTCTGGACAGCCGGCAAAACTCTATGCGAAACAACATGGCGGTTGTGTCCCCGATCGAACCACCTGTCGCGACTTTTAATCCACTGCAGCAACAGCGCCCATATCAGTTGGAAAACAAACCATTGAGCGCACTGGAGCGGATACAGTTACAGCAGAAGGCGCAATTCCAGGAACAGGAACGACTGGCTGAAACCATTATTCCCTCGAGCAACGTCCAAATAGGAGCAGAGGCAAGAACAGGGTCGGTAGAGGCAGGATCTCGAGATGCTCATCCCATCCTACCTTCATTTCCCGGTCATTCCACAGCTTCGCCACAACCACCAGAAGCATCTTCGGCCGCTGCAATCATAGCATCAGCGGGTAGCGACTCCGCCATGTTGGATCAGCTTTTGAGTCTTGTCCCAGGGCCACATCGACCACGACTGCCATCCCAGATCGAATGGCAGCGCGGATTTGAAGAATTGCAGCAAAAACGAACGGAAGCAACAGCGCTGACATCCTCGCTGGGTCGCCAGAACTCAAGTAGTAGTCGACATAGTCGGGAATCCAGCGATGGCAGGGGTCGTCGTCACTCGATGCCAGATATGCCTCATGGACAGAGTAGAGAAGATCAAGAGAGACAGCGTGGAGATAATTTCAGGAATCCTATGCTGTCGCCTTTGTCCTCAAATCAAAGGCGCTCATTGTTTGAAGATCGAGAGCAGTTACTGCGCCAGTCACCGATCCAGAGGCAATCAATTGCGGAATCGCAAGTTGTCGATGCACCCTCTGCGATTGCGATGTTTGCAGTCGGGTCCAGGCAGCTCAAAAACGGCGGCGGCAATTACAACGATAAAGCCGGAAAGGATATGGACTTGGACGCTTATAGGAGAGGTACCACTAGCCCCCTCGACAAGGGCCAAGTTAATGAAAAAGATATGATTGACATGGCCTTCGACGATATGCTCGTAAGTAGGACTCCAACTTTTGCATAGCCTGGGTATGCTATTGAAAGGGTCAACGTGCTAACCCTCGTCCTTGTGTCAACTAAACTAGGCATCCTTGTCCCTTCCTGTAGTCACAAGGACACAGCTCGAATCACTCCCCAAGGAGCGGAAATGGGCCATGCTCCAGTCCAACGACGCAAATCCCACGCTTTATCAAACACCAGAAACTATGCCGCCTCAGTTTTTTGTGGATGCTCTACTGGAATACTCCGGCAAGAAAAAGCGATCCTCCCGGGACCTAAACGCCTTCAATTTTGTATCATCCAACCATAACAACAAGTCCATGGGAATTTGGAAGAATATGAGCGCCAGTAATATCGGCAGTTCCAGCAACGGAGGTGACTGTAGTAGTCTCCAGGGCTTCAGCACCTCTCCCGAAAGAAGTGCTACTTCATCAATTATCCAGGCACAGCAACATCAAAGCTTCCAGCAGCAGTTGTCGTCGTTACTTGGTGGCAAGAGTGAAAAGCGCACTTTGGAAGAACGAGAGCAGGTGCTGAAAAAACTGCGTGTGTTGATCAGGAACGGATCAATTCGTTGGACAGGCGAGTTCATCAAAGTCGGTGGACCATTGGCATTGCTGCAGTTCTGTAGTCATGTACAAAGGTCGGAAGAAACGTAAGCTTATGAACACAGTCTTTATTGCTTGATCTCGCGTGAGCTATATCTCTTTCTGCCATCTGTTCACTGACGTTCGATCCTCTCGCTGCTTTTATAGCAAGCTGGGCCAGCGAGAGAAGTTGTTGCACCAAACCATCCAGTGCATCAGGGCCATCGTCCCGCTTGAGGTACGTACTCTACTTTCCTCTCTGAACAAACATGAGGACCAAAGATTATAGCTCGAGAGCGTATTCTAAATATCTTCACTTATGCTCTATCGTATGTATAGGGTGGTGTCGAATCTCTGGTCACTGAGCCTGTATTCTTTCCACTTATGCGAACGTTAGCCATCAACGAGGCTCCCATATTGACCTCTTCGAAAATTACATCAGGCGTCAAATCAAAGACAGGATTTTTTGGTGGCGGTGGTGGGTCCGGCTCTGGATCAGGAGGAACAGCATCTGGCAGCATTATCGGACAGCAGCAGCGATTACGATCTTCGTCCATTCCAAAGCCCATTCACATTCGACTCAGCTACCAGACACCATTTCAACCCATGCCAGTCTTATCCGTGGACCAGATCCCGATGTTTTCCAATTCGCAGACCTCGGTAGGTATACTGACGGCCATTTTGGCTAGGGAGCCAGAGAGGAGGGACCAGATTCTGAAAGAGACCGTCGCAGATCCAAACATGACGCTGAACCAGTGGAAGAGTGGGGATGAAGGACTGTGGAAGTACTCAGAGTGGATCACGTATTTGAAGGAGATCGTCCAGGTGTGCGGTGTTGAGATGCCTTCGGCCACCATGGCTTCCGACAATGTGGGTCATGAGAGTATGTCTTCTAGAGATGCAGCTCGAGCAAATGCATCAACCCCAACAAATGTGGTATCTGTGGGTCAGGGTCTTTCGATGTTGGGCGCAGGACCATCGGCATCGACGCTGTCTTTATTCTCTTTGGATAATATGCGGAGGCGGAAGAACAGTAACATGTCACCTTGCCCTACGAACGGCGGAATCAAATACGAGGCGGGCGAGGATCGCGAGATGTTGGCGTATCTGGTGAGTATAAAGCACTTTGGCCCAAAGCAAATAGTCAGTGCTGATTAGCGAAGTGCTAGGACTAACAGCGGCTTACTATCTCTGATAGACCACCCATTTGGAACTTATATCCAAGCTCATTTTTGATATGCACATTTCAAGTCCAGGACTCGCATTTGCAAAGGCCATTAAGGAGAGTCAGTTGGAGACTTTCCTCGAGGTAGATCATGCACAGCAAGAAATGAACGAGCTGACCTTGTATTAACAACTCTCACAGCAGTTGTGTACTAAAACGATGAACGTTTGCTCTCCATTATTAGCAATTGCGATCGACGTATATCCAGAATCAGGACCTCAGCGCTCAAATCGAAGACCTGGTCATCCAGCTTTCCATGGTACCTAGCACGACTCGACTCATCGCTTCACGACTATCTCGGGAACTGCCTGTGATCCCACCCTTTGATCCCGCCTCTTATCAACAGCTACGACAACAACGACCACCATCGGCAGAGCATCAATATCCGTTGCCGGACGCCAAATACGGTGCCCAGGTCGTTCCAAAGGCTACAGCTTCGGATATCCCATTCAGGGACAGTAGCCTTGACACATTTGCCATAGGGCACCATTCTGGGAGCGGTATTTTCGATAACGCGGGCGTCAGCTACGATGGGGGCACTCAGAGACCCATGTATGGTGGTGGTTTGGCCAGGAGCACTTCTCAGATTAAGCCGACTCCCACTCAGCGGCTCCAGTTCCAGCAGCAGGTTGGAGCAGGACGTACACGCAAGGCTACAGTCATCGGTCTAATCGAGAACACTGGTGCTGAAGGTGCAGCTCTGTCTGGTCTCGGTAGACAGATCTCTGTGAAGAGGAGTTCGGTTGATGGACAGCGAGTGAGCAGTGGAGGGAACAACAGCCCCTTGCCTCAAAACAACCGGATGTCACCTGCAAATGGATTCTACCAAGATCTTCTGCCGTCAGCAAGAACAACTACTACGACTCGTAGAGCGACAATCGGAGAGAGCGCGCCGATAACATCGGCTTTTGCAGGATCTGGCGCAGCATTAAGAATGCCAGTCGTGCCACCCAAGAACAAAAATCGACCTTGCTCGTATGATGTCAAGGGCAGGAGTGGCGAACTCTTTCCGAAGATTCAATACACGACTGTAAAGTTGGATCAGCAGTTCCAGCAGTTCCGGCCGGGAATGGCTCCAAGGTACTCATCTACACCTATACCCCAGAACCTGAGCAAGGATATCCCCCAGCTTGGAGGCAACACTCCTCGTGCTGCTCCTAGCCCTGTGCCACGAAGCAGCAGTACTGATACGTTTGGGAATGGCCGGCGGTCGAGTCTGAATAGCGGTGCCAATGTGGTGGTGAAGGCCGACAGTAGCGATGCGGGGACGCCTGCAGGCCTGCCGAGCATATCAACAGAATCTGGTCATGGGCGCGGTCTCGGCCATGGACACAATAACGTGAGCACAGATGGAACGTCTACGTGCTCTTCTACGACATCCTCCGGATTCTCGGCTACATCTTCCAATTCATCGGTCTCAGTATTTTACTCTCAAACCCTGAAGCAGTCTACGCTTGCTGTTGCTGAGCCGTCCTCCTCGTCTTCTCCCAGGTTGCTTAGGTCGACGAATCATGCCGCAACGGCTGCGGCGCTTCCTCCAGCTCATCCTGGCAAACCCATAAAGAAAGAAGTTTACAAATTCCGAGACGTGGACTTTGATGCGCAGATCCAGGAGAATGTCCGAAGGTTGGCATCCTCGTCATCTTTGATCGCCATCAGGAACCAGCCCCTCCAGCAGGTTAACGAAGACACGAAGGCCGTGATTCCCAAGCTTGAGATTCAGGCTACAGATCCAAAGGTTTTGGAAGCGCCCATTGTGGTTCCTGCGGATATTTCTTTGATCAGGGAGCAATATATCCGTGAGCAACTCTCCAGCATTGTGTTGCCACCTATGGAACAAAAGACTGGCAGAGACGTCGATGTTGATATCGAGGCAATCAGCAGGAAGACCAAGACAGGCGCAGTTTCTAGGCGCCAGAGTGTCAACAGTGGCATCCCTGTAATGACAGGAGCACCATCGTTTGTGCACGACAGTAACAAGAGCGTGCAAGAAGCAAAAACGGTGTTTTTCGAGCAAACGACCTCGACCTCCAATGGTGTCTCGAGGCTACCCCAGTTGGCAGGTACACGACAGCGCTCGGTTAATCCAGCAATGCCCAGTTCAAATAACGACATGGCCAAGATCTCGGATCGTATCAAGATGTTTGAGCGAGCGTGAACTCTATACCCGTTGTAGATTTGCACAAGAATAAACGGCCCACAAGCGTTTATTGATGTATAGCAATGTCATTTCCAGTGGTAGCTCTATGACTTCTTTTCGTAATGCCTCGGTTCTTTTTTTTTTCACATCTTCTCGACCATTTTCTTGACCATGGTCGTACATTCCTGTGAACTCAAAAACTCCGAGTTCTTGATAGCATTGCAGACCAAAATGGTATGTTTGGGGCTTGCAGAGTTGATCCAGATCTTGCCGTTCATGCCGATGGCGGTCTCGAAGGGGATATGTTGACCCAACAGTCTGAGAACCAGGGTTTTGGGGTCCAATAACCGGCGGGCGAGCCCCAGTGATGTCTTGATCACAAATCCAGATTTCAGTTCTCCATAGCCGTCGGCTTTACCCGTGGTTGGGTTGAAGCACTCGAGTTCTGCCTCCATGTCCTTGTTCGCGAGCGAGACCCTGCAGTACACCAGCGCTCCAATCTGAAAAAGAATGAAGACGAATGCTCAGTATGGTGAGTGTTATCCTTAGAGGACAAAGTCAGGCACTTTGGTTATATATTTGTGAATTGGTAGGCGGGTACCTTGATATCAGGCTTGTTGCGTTTGCTGGCGCCTTCGAATGCTAGGACACCCAGGAGGGCCTGTTGTGCAGCTCCAATGTCGACCTTGTAATGCTCTGCTGATTTTGCAGTCACGATTCCTACCACTGATTCTCCTTGTGCTGCAACATACTACCATTGCCGTCGCCACCCGACCAGACATAATGAACAGGAGTGAGGGGATGTCAGCATAGGATCGATATAAAAAGAAAAAGAAAAGAAAAGAAACGAATAACGAATAACCATAGACGAGACAGACATGCCATCCGAGAAAACTTACGCGACGCTGATTGCTTTCAACCCACCACCGGTTGCCTACTGAAGAGTGCTTCAACACTCCGGCCTTCATCGCTGTCACGTTATCGTCCTCCATAAGTAACCCTGGACCCAACTTGACGACCTGTGCTGAGGCTGCGTCCTCCATAAGCCCGGATTCTGGAAGCAGGTCCCCTGGGAGAACGATGTGTGGTCCAGTGGACAGCTCCTGGTGGTCCTGCTGCTGTTCTGTCATTATTGATGTCATTCTACTGCGATCCCTGTTGGAAAAATAATATGTACGAGGCTTCCTTAGGTCGTTGGTTCAAAGGTGAAGAAGGGAGGGGGTTTCTTCTGGCGGTGTCGTGGGTTGTCAGGCGATGCAATTGCAGCTCGGGATGCAAGGACAAAAAGGAAGGAGGGTATCGAATTGGTGATTGTTCGTTATCTGGTTATTAAATCCGGCTCCTGGTTTGTCCCGGGCGTGCTTTAGTTTCTGCTGGGCGTGCTTTAGTTTCTGCTGGGCGAGGTTGGGTTTGCGGCGTCGTTGACGAGGTCCAGGGAATGTTGCAAGACTGACTGAAACAAAAGTGATAGCCCCCCTTTTGTTTGTTGTCGTTGCATTCAACAGTCACCGATCAGATCAAAATTCACAGAGGATTGTAAAAAAAAAAATGTCAATTGCATGGTTCAGGACAGTTGAAGTAATACGGGAAAGATAAATGAAGAGCGAGGAACGAAGAACGGAGATGATAGGAAAACTATTTATACAGGGAGGAGGGTTATTTCTCTAAGAATGTCTATAAGATTAAAGGAAGTCCCGTTCAACTCGAACCATAGGGCCACTGTTCAAAGTATCGCAAATTTTCTTGAAGACGAAGCGCCTGTTCATAAATCACGAACATGAGCGCACTCTGCAATGACGTCCAGAAAACTCTTGGACCAACACCCCTAAACAATCCTCTGATCACCCCGTGGTGCTTCAGGTTCCATTTGAGTCCATCCCAAATGCCGACATAGTACTTTTGGGTAGCGGCGCCGGCTGTGGCATGTGTTGCTATTGAGGTCGTCTGTACAACAAGAGGCGGAAAAAAAAGAATAAGTGATTTGATTATTTGGCAGATTCCTACGATAAATGCGAAAATAATCTTGTGGTTGAAAAGATGACTTACTGTTGTTGGCACTTTGACCTGTGTCTGCAAAAGCGTTTTCATGACATCCAATGGCGTCGTTAAGAATCCAGCCAATCCTCCTGCAACGGCACCACACGCTGTCTCGACATGGAGGGACATCTGTCCGTCCTCACGCGCCTCCCATTTCCGTGCCTTGGCCTTGAATTTTTCTATTTGAATTAAACAGATACGCCATCATTAAAAATAGTCCATCTCGTATATACCAGAATAAAGTGAGGACGGGGCAATCTGGAGGAAAGCCTTACCATAGAATGCAAACTGGAGCGCAGAGAACGGAACGTCTCTCAGGAGCGTTGCACGGTATCCCTGGTACAAAGCACCGACGCCATCGTACTTGACAATCATCTGGAGAGCATGCAGGGTGTTCTTGTAGTTATATCCACTGATAAAGGACGGGTTGTTGTATCGTCCCTGAAGCTGCATCCTTGTTTTAAGTACTTCTGAAGGTACGTAGATGAACGACGCAAAGAAGTCTCCAATGGATCCTACAATATCAAAAACAGATGTCTAATGAGCTCTCTCTCTCCTCAATGGCCGTCAATCATAGAGACTTGAGCCGCATAAGGGTCCTGATCTGTTACCTCCTGCCAAATGGGCTATGGTGTCGGGGCATCCTGCAGCGGTCAAAGTGCGTTTGGTATATTCATACGTCCCAAAGTAAAGTGTCGTTCCTGGCACTATACAGAACAGAGATGGACTTCCTGTAAGCGGCTGATCGGGCTCATTATAGTCATACCTAAAAAATATCCCTTTTTTTTTGCTCCTTACAAGAGCCAGTCATGGCCGGCGCCACTCCACTGTACAGTCCTCTGGAAACACCCTCCTCCCGCAAGATGGTGCTGTAGGCATGAAACATATTGTTGTACTTTGGCGGGGTGGCTGAGGGCTGCCCTTGCAACCGAGTCTTGACCGTGTCCACACTATCATGAAATAAATGAAGGGCAGTTGTCAGTTATTTTTCCCAGAAGAAGACGAATAAAAAAAAAAAAAAAATCTAAATTCATTTATTTACCTGTGCATGATGAAGTCGGCAATTGTTCCGCCCAACCCACCAGCAATCAAAACCTATATATCAAGCATTGAATAAAGAGAAGATCAAGGCCCGGAGTGAGAAAGATCGCTCTTAATGACATCTCAATGTATGTGTGTCCTGTCTTCGAACGTAATGCTATTCGTTTCCATTTACATCAATGTATGGCGGGTCCTGTTCCTCAGCAACGGTTGGTGGAAGGGCCCGTTTCAGGGCAGGTGTCGGATGGAAAGATTGAAGGTGGGACATGGAAGCCGAGGCGGCGGCTGAAGGCGTGGTGATCCCGCCACTGGATGACATGATGTCTTTGGTGTAGATAGTAAGCGAGTTGTTCTGATGTCGGTATGGCGCCTGGTGTGTAGTATAAGGTGTTGGAAACTGATGTCGGACGACCTGGAGGTTAGTGTTTAGGTTCGGTAGTGCCGGATCACACAGTTCAGGTACGAATGAGGCAAGGTGTGGATTGTGATGTAGATCTGAGCAATGGTAGGAGAGGCTGGTGAGGGACAGTCTCAAGAGGAGACAGGAGAGGAGGAAGTGGGCCAAACAATAGATGGAATGGGGAGAGGAAGAGGAGCGCTCAGATGAAGGTGCGAGAGAGGGAGAGAGAAAGAAAGAGAAAGAGAGAAAGAGAGGGACGATCAGGGAGGATGACTGGCTGTTGATCTTTTTCGTTTCCCCACGGTTCAACGAATCAATTGAAAAATATCCATATTTGGATCCAGTCAGAGCATGCGCGCACACTGCAGACATGGCATGGCCCTGAGCCACGTTCCTGCTAGCCCTGAACGGTGTTCAATCTATCAGTCAATCCCCATGGTTCCGTTGAAAAATAAACAATAGCCCTTTGGTGGCAAATGGTCCCTTTTGCGAGTGGGCATGGGCGAGGGTGGATGCAGTGGTCACATCCAAACGAACCCCTCGCTGTGTTTGATCTCCAACACATGTTTCTTCTCTCTCCTCATCACCGCAACATCCACACCATCATGATCAAAAACACCTCTACCAACCAAGAACTCATTCCAAAGCCAGGCCATGACGCCAGCTCTCCCTCGAATGAAACTGAAGCTGACGACGAATTTGAGGTACAAACCTGCGTCCGCCTTTATTCTTCCGAGGTTGAAGTGTAATAAACGATCTTCAACAACACCCTGACAATGCTCCCAACGTCGTTCCTATGCTAGGTAGAGGCTATCCTCGGCGTGCGAGACTTGAAACTCGGGGTAAGTTCAAGAGCGCCCCTGTATGAATTGCGAGGCTGTGTTAGATACTGACAAGCAATTCTTTACATACAAATCTCATAGCACACCCCCACATTTTTTGTAAAGTGGAAAGGCTATCCTGACTCAAGCAACACCTGGGAGCCGCTCGAGAACCTGACAAACTGCATTGAACTAGTGCGCGAATGTGTAAAGATAATTTTGCAAGAGAAAAAGTCGACCCTGGCCCTAACTCCTTTGCAAGAGTTCGAAAAGATCTTCGAGGCGTCGCCCGGACCCAAAATCGTCGTCGAGAACGAAGTTGACAGCGAGGCATGTCCGCCAGGATTCAAGTACATTTCGGAGTCAATTTACGGCGAGGGAGTCAGAGAACCAGACTTGGATTTCGCCAGCTTTTGCGTTTGCGGACCAGGGGGGTGCAGCGTCGAGAATGGCTGCGATTGTATGATCGAAGCAGCCCAGGTGAATGACGAGTACGAACGGGTTCCGTTCGAGGAGGATGGACGGGTGTCGATGCACACAAGTAAGCTCCTCTGGGAGTGCAATGCGAGGTGTGGGTGTGGGGTGGATTGCATCTCAAAGGCGTCCCAAAGAGGGCGCAAGTTCGGTCTGAAGATCAAACGGTTTCCAGGAAAGGGCTGGGGTGTGGTATTAAATCAGACGGAGCCGATTCCGCCAAGGGCATTTGTGGCCCGGTACGTTGGCGAGATCATTACCAACAAGGAAGCCCTGCGTCGCGGACAGGAGTACGACAAAAAGGGGGCCACCTGGCTTTTTGACCTGGACTACAACACCGAGAACACCGCTGAGTACTCAATCGATGCCTATCATATGGGCAACGAGAGTCATTTCTTCAACCACTCATGCGACCCCAACCTATCGGTCTATATGCTAGCGGGTAACACTGGAGGAGATAGCAGCATCACCACCCACAGTTTCTGGAGTAACCGCTGGATTTACGAAGGAGATGAGCTGACCTTTGACTACAATGGAGCTGCAAACAATGAAGGGCTACAGCAGCGACAACAGAATCAGCAACAGCAGAAAAAGAAGAAGAAGCGTCAAAAGGGTCAGACAAGGTGCTTGTGTGGGTCTGCCAATTGCCGCGAGTGGGTTCATCTGTTCCGTGGAAAGTAGACATACTCTCTTTTTTTTTTCGCTCTCTGTGTACAATAGTCGACATTTACAATATAAATCTGTACAGTAGTTTGTATGTTCTACGATTCTTGGCGCCAGATACTCTCTGGATGCGCTGGCCACAATAGTTTTTTTTTTGTACGATTTGTGGGAGATTCGGGGTTCATTGGGGAGTCGCTAGGCAGCTGAAGGCCGTCCCCAGTCTGATCTTGCTTGTCCATGGTGATTGGATAAGAAAGGGTGATAGATAGTTTGACCGTAAGGTGGTGCAAAAAAATGTAATTGTAAAAGTGTGCCTCGATATACCGGTAGTATCAACGCTCAAAAACAACCAAGCTGTTGTCCAGATTCGAACCAAGAAAAAGAGACAAGGTTCGAATTCTGCAGGCAGCCTCTCTTTTATGTAGGCCCAATTAAGGGTCTCCCGTGCCCGATACTACAGATTGCATATTCTTTCTCTGAGGTCCTCCTCATCCTTCTCGCCGCTCTCATCTGCAATTTTTATCAGCATCATCAACTGAAGACAAAAACCTGGAGCTGAGGTGACTTTAAGCGACTTTCCACTCGACCAACAACCAGCACAGCTCCCGAGGACACGGCAGGATGGAAGTCAACAGGGATGAGGCCTTGCGATGCCTCGACATCGCTCGACGCCATTTAAACTCAGGAAACTATGCCAGTGCAAGAAAGTTCGGCAACAAGTCTATTGCACTATTCCCCACTCCCGAAGCGACCGCATTTTTGATCAAAGTCGATAAGGAAGAGGCCTCCGGTTCACCGGAGTCAGCTTCATCTTCTACATTCTCTTCGGCGGATCCATCAACTGCAAGCAGCACAAAGAGCTCGCCCAACCCAGGAGCAGGCTCCACCTTTGCTTCAGGGACAGGATCATCATCTTCTGCCAGACCCAACTCTGTCCCTCCGAGACCACGATCAACGCCTGTAGATCATAAGCCTGTGGATAGAGACTATACCCCAGAGCAGGCAGCGGCTGTCAAGAAGATCCGATCATCAGGCGGTGACTTTTACAAAGTCTTGGGTATCAACAAAGATGCAACAGATGCAGAGATTAAGAAGGCGTATCGCAAGGTAATTTATTTTTGACTTGCTCTGCGCAGAATTGGCGCTTTTACGGCTATATGATCATGATAGAGAAACAGTATCTGACTCGCCTCTTCTTCTTTCTCTGGATATTTTTGAAATCTCTAGCTTGCCCTCCAGATGCATCCTGACAAGAACGGAGCCCCAGGGGCTGACGAGGCTTTCAAAAGTACGTTCTGCAGTTCGGACTTCATTGTTTGGGTGTTCTCTTTTACAGAGCGATATCTTTGTAATACGTGGCGACAACCATGACGCCAAAAAATGTTGATTTCTGGATTCATTCTATTGGACGATCGAACCAGAACGTTTTTTTTTTTTTTTTTTTTTTTTTTTTTTTGGATGAGGTTTTATGTTCTAACCTCGTAAACTCTTCTTTATTCGCCTTTCGATCTACCACGTAGTCGTCTCGAAAGCATTCACAGTGCTCAGCGACTCACAGAAGCGCGCCATCTTTGACCAGCATGGACCCGAGGATGGCAGGAGTACAGGCGTTAACTATGATCGGGCCTCACCTATGGGTCCAGGGTTTAGCGGTGGAATGAATGGCATGAGTGGTTTCGGAGAAGAGATATCGCCAGAAGAGCTGTTTAACATGTTTTTTGGCGGTGGCAATTTTGGTGGCTGTAAGTGCTGCTGTACATCCTTTCGTCATGGAAAACGTTGAGATTGCCCCTTTACCAACAGGCCCCTAACGTCTCTCGCTCTTTTCTCAATCTTTAGCCTTCCATTCAGCAACGTTTGCAGGGCCAGGCTTTGGTACTCGTCAGTTCCGTACACGCACGCAGCACACTCAGCACAGGCAGCAGCGTCAACATCCACAGCAACAGGCAGGAGCTGGCGGTGGCGATGGCGTCAGTGGGCTGTCTAGCCTGATCCAAATCCTGCCTCTAATCCTCCTGTTCATCATGTCCATGACGTCCAGCTTCTTCACTGACAGCGATTCGTCCTCGTCCAGCAGCTCTCCAGCAGCGTCGGATTTTTCGCTCGGTGCTCATGGGTCGTACCAATCAGAACGCTTCACAAGCGTTCACCATGTACCTTACTTCGTGAATGAGCGGAAATTCAGGAATACGTTTATGATACCAGGTCAGGATCATGTGGATCTGAATCGGATTGTGGATGGAATCCATGTCCGGAAGATTCTGACGCAGCTGGAGGAGAATGTTGAGAACGCGTATCTGAGATATATGCGAACCGAGTGTGCAAACGAGAAAAAGAGAAAGGAAATGGCACATAGTCGGGCGATGGGATACTTTGGACCGAATAAGGAGAGGTGGGAAGCCGCTCAGCGCATGACGACGCCCAGCTGTGATGCGATTCGAGAGAAGTTTGGAAACCAGTATGTGAGTTAGGCGGATCTGCATTTTTATTCCTTTGTTTTTTGTTTGGAGAAGACAGGGAAGGCCGGAGGGAGGGCATGCAGAGCAGCGGCAATGTATGGGTCCTCTTTGACTCTAGAGTGAAGAGAGTGGCATCTGACGCTGCGCAACCACGAACGTGTTGATTGTTGGACACGACTATACACTCTTTTTTTAATAAACAACAAATATATACTAAGCGGCTACTCTTCAATGACAACCATCTCTTCTAAACCCACCGACCAGAGACCGCGATTATTCTCCCTGTACCATTAGCCTATCCTTCTCGATCGTTTATTATCGCTCTGAATCCATCCTCTGTCGACTACAACCGCCTCGCTATCTTTAATGTACAAGAGCGACGTGGGAAACTTTTTGCCCTAGATACAACTCATGATCAGCTCAAGTCGCATTTTGGAAGGGCAGGACGGCAAGGCGGGCCATAGCCCCCCTTCCCCCTACTGTGCTGTGCTATATTCAATCACATGTGAAATATGGGCTAGAGTGCTGACGACCTTTCAATGTAACGTGTGAATTGGCCTGGAGCAAGATAGAGAAGGCATAAAAACAGGGCAGTAGGTAGAAAGGGCAGGGTTACAACAGTGGGTACAGGATCAATCGTGAATAAACGGACATAACACTAAACACGAAGGAGTGCCTCAATACAAAGGGAGAATCATCTGGGCGAAGCAATAACTGGATCGGGTGCCAATCTACTGGGTTAATTTCTCCACAAGAACCAAGAGCCCGAAATCACCACATATTTATGATTCTGTCTCGAGAGCTCACCGCGAACTCGACGGTGGATAAGACAAATAAAGACAACGAGAAAGAGATCGCGAAGCTAGAATGAACGAAAGAGAAACAAGTAGAAATGAAAAAAAAGGTACAACACCCAACCAACAGTAAAAAAAAGGAAATTAGGACGACCATCACCGGCGACTAAGTAAAAGAAGAAAATCAAACTGAAGACGAAAGAATACAGGGAGGAGGTGAAGCATCTGGAAAACGGCGGACGATGGTCCAAGGAACGAGGAAGTCTATTGATCCAACGTACATTTTTTATTTATAACAAATTCGTCGTTCAAGCCAATTGACTCAGCGAATCTATCAGACCAAATGAGCAATGATCTGCTACAGTGCCGTCCTTTCCACCAGAGCAGAACTGATCCATAGACGCCAAAAAAAAAAAAAAAAAAAAAAAAAAAAAGCTACATTCCCAATGCATTTTTTTATTGGAAGAAGCTTGGTTTTTTTTTTATATAACCATTTATCTCTCGAGCCGATTGACCCTGCGAATCTATCAGCAATGATCTATTACAGTCGTCCTTTCCACCAATGTAGAGCCGATCCACAGTCGCCAAAAGACAGGCCACATTCCCCGGGCCTGTCCCTAGGGCCTGTGCAATAATTGCCACACCTCATCAGTGTGTTAAAAAGCTGAAAACTCCTTGTTACAAAAAGGGTATCTTCCCCATCCTCCATAGTTGTCAACCGTCTCCTCCCTTGCAGGCAGTCCAGCAGCGTCCGATCCGCTGCGTCTGGGTCGAGCGCGGGGCCAGGGCAGCTTCACACGGACAGTGGTCGGCGTCGCAAAGCAGTGTACTAACTTTGTCTTTTTTTTTTTTGATAACTACACTCCTTTTTACGAAAAAATGCACTTTTCATAGTGAAATGTGCATTTTTTACTGAATTAAAAAAATATAAGGGCGTTATTCAGTTTTGTGATGGCGGTGACCCTACCTTATATCCTCACACTTTTTCCCTCTCTCACTTTTCCCCGAAAAGCAGCACGATTGATGGTCCGTAAATCCAAGCAGATATAAAAATGGACTGAATAACGCCCTTATATTTTTTCGCAAAAAGGAGTGTAGGACTTTTTTTGATAACTAGGACCCACGGGGACGTGTGTGCTTTATTAGCGTGATACTATCCTCTAGGGACCCCTATTGCTAGAGACGTAAAGAAAAGTGGCATCTAATAAACAGCTTTTGCTGCTAAGTCCCGTTCACAATCCTCGTCAGCATGAGTGGGGTGACTCGAGGAGCCCTGCTCCCTACTTGGCCTGTTGTGCACGAAGGTCATCCTCTAGCCAGTATTCACTGTCATCAAAAACTTGCATCCGCCTAGTCGCTCCATCAGAGTTAGCTCCAGCTGCTGGCAAAAGCCCTGCACTAGGCGCCTGTCCGCCTCTGCCCTGATCTCTTCTATGTCTGTTGCTGGTCTCTGACTATGGGCTGATCCCATGAAATTACTTCTGTTATGGTTCTGCCCTCCGCCACAAGTGCGTCCTCTGGCGCGTTTGCTCACAGAAGTGATTCCGCGCTCTCGTTCCCAGTCCACGGTGACTTTGCAACGTCTGTTCCAGATCTCAGTCCTTCCTAGCTCCTCGATGGCCCTGACAAAGCGCGCGACCATGTACCTTGCGACTGACTTTGACGTCTTGAACGCCTCTGCCTATTTCGTAGTAAAGTTCTTTGGTACCAGTCCATGGTACAAATCCTGAACGGTCCAACTTGCTTCACTGCTGTGCCTGCTTTCGTCTGTCTCGTCAAGGTTCTCGTCCGCGTATCGGATGGCCGTCGCTCCTTTGATCTCTCTCAAGCATCCTCCAGATGGTCGTCTCTGCCAGTGCGGTGAACTGCGGTCCTTTCTTCGTGCTTGGCTGCTGTCCTCGGCTCTCCTCGCTTTTTTTCTTCGCCTCCCATTGCTTTCTCTCCTTTGCCCAAGCGCGTTGTCCGTTCTCGTTCACTTCTTCCACCGCCTTGGCCCAGTGTAATAGCTTTAGGCAACTGAGGGCAGGGGCTTGAGGTGGACAGGATGGAATGCGTGCTGTATTTAGGTGGTAACTAGCTGGTCTATTTATCTATGTCTACGGACCGGTTCCGGCCCGGTCGGTGGTCTATAGCCGGGGCCCCAGTCCTTTCGGAGTCGGGGCTATATTCGGGGTTATCCTGTTACACCCAGCCTTCCAACTGTTCGCCCCTAGAGATTGCACATGTCCATATATGCTCAACGTCCTCGACCTCCAGCTCACACATCCTGCAAATGTCGGTGTCATATAGATCTGGCCGCCAGTTCTTCATGTATGACAGTTTTTTTTTTTTTTTTTTTATTAACATAAATCCCCATGTTTCTCCATGTATGACAGTGTCGGGAGCATGCCATGTATTTTTTTCGTTCGATGTGCACGTTTTTGACAGTCCGCAGGGCTGGTGAAGAGACTCCTTGGTGTCTGCCCGTCGTGAACAATATTCAAAGTCACCTTCCAATCCACCGCTTGCCAGTCTGGAATATACGCTGCTGTCCTATTCTGCTTGGTCCATACTGTGGCAAAAAGGA